ATTTTTGCTTGTTTGTATGCATCATGGAGCTCTAATTACTTAATAGTGATCATATGCAACCAATTCTTTTTAGATGCTCAATTTTCTTTTTAAGTTCTTCTAAGGAGGGCATTGAAAAGAGGCAATAGGCTCGTCTTACATGAAATGTGGAAGTTGAGCTTCAAGATACAGTTCAGTTTTTCTATACTTAGTTACATTTCCTTTGCTAAAATGTTTCCTGTTATACAAAATAATAACAAATGTATTTTAAAACAACAAAAAGAGGTACAGATAGAAAGAGAGTGTAGAGATGATTCACAAGATATCTACCACATGATAAATTGGTTATAGTGATTCCCTACACTGGAAAAAAATTTAAATCTAGATAAGTAATTTTTTCTTAAAAATAAGTGCATTTGTTCTTGAATTGAGGAGATAAAGGAGACATTTTGCCAATAGAACAAGACAATTTAACGTTTTAAAATAAGAAAACACAAGTGCATTGTCTTATTTCAAGTGGATATTATGTAATTATCTTATTTTAAGAGTAAAAATACTCATTCCACTGGCAAACTATCTAATTTACCTATTAAAATCAAGGGTAAATATACCTAATTTAAGAAATGTTAACTTATTTCTAGATCATTTTTCCAGTGTAGATAAAGACATCAGTCAGAATCTTTTTGATACATTTTTATATATTTACTACTCTTTCACTGCTTTAATTATTATAATCGAAATATCTTAATAACCATCTCAAATGTCATAAAACTAGAAACTGCCTCTCCTCTGCCACTGTTTGTCCAAATATATCCATGCTGATCTAAATATTGTAAGTATGACCATCGAGTCCCGTAGAAATGAATGGTCAACTTCCATCTAGTTGTCTGGAGAGCTTCTGTTAGTAGGAGCTTGTTTGCAGCTTTTTTTCACCTACAGTGTTTTCTTTGTTTGAGTGTTTTTATCATGTATGTGTTTGCAATTTGTTTTCTTTTTACAGCACCTTTATGTATTTTGACTTGATTCTATTTTCTGTGACGGTTGCATTTCAGTTTTGTATCTTTTTCCTTTGCATATGTTTTTTGAGATTGCTTGTCTCATTTTTTGTCTTTTAAAGTACTTTTACCATTTGTGTATTTGCTGTGCGTTTGCACCTCTCGAATAAACCACGTGTTTTTTTAGATAAAAGCTACAATATGTCATTTCAGCAACATCTAATGCGCAGACTACAGCAACATGAGCCACATCTCCCTCACCGCTTCTGTCCCTCCAGCGGCAGAAGCTGTTATGGTACAAAGTGGCTTCCGTAATGTCTGCATCACCTTTCTTGTCAAGTGATGGCAAGGTTTGTTTATATTACAGATGCACAGATCAGAATTTGGGGCATTGATCATAAAAATCAGTATCTGATGATCAGCCATTCAAGCAACAAATCAATAAGTTCTTTAATAATGTTTTCTCATGTACATTAACATTGTATTATTAAATCTGAAGAGCAGGAGAAAGAAGGTTACATTGATAATTTTATAAATAGTATTTTATAAATAGTATTTGTGTAGGATGTAGGTTTTATATAGGCTCCCATTCGAGCATAACAGCGATCTCTACAGTCACTAGTTTATCAGTTCTGCGTTCCCGTAGAAAGATGTCTGCCTACATACACACTCAACCTGCTCCTATGTAATTATAAATAGCAATATCTAAGGCAACCCAAACATACAGACTGAGTATTTCATTTTATAGATGATAAAAATATTACATACTTATGTATAAAAAATGACATTTCTGTCATTAAATCCCTGAAATGATTACACGCTATAGCTTTAACTGTTTAAAATGACCCAATGAAATCCCTAAAGCTTTCTGAAACAATAATGTGAGGTTTACATTGTGCCTTAGGATAAAAAAAAGATTTATTGAAACATATTTTAAGTAATTTTAATGGTTTGAAATAATTAATGGCATATTTATAGAGAATATATAGATACCAAGAATATTATCTGCACCATGCTGGAGTAAAAGCAGACATTAACTCCTATTTTGAAGTTTACACCATAAATAATATACCTGAATATTCTCTGCCAGGTTTACATTTCATTAGTAAGGAGCAGATACTGCATTTTAAGATGACCAGAGTACCAAATGAAAGAGTAAATGATTATGATTGATTTTTGATTTGGCCTAAGGGTGTCGCATAGAGATAATTTACATAGCTTAATTAATTGCATTTGCAGCACTCCAGTCAAGGTTAAAGTGTTATGCAATAATTTGTAATTGAGAGCACTGTACATCAGTTGTTCAATTTGTTGTTTGATTTATAGAGTTTCCGTGCTAAGCTTTAAATACTTTTCTTCTAATACATTTTGAAATTAAGTCAAATTGACATCAGTCAGTCACATGGTAAAGTAATATTAGTAACCCTTCACACTTTTATATGAGTAGATTCTTACACGTTATCATGACTGCTATATTTCAAGCTGTGGCACAGTAAGAGGTGAAAATGCCTGCAAAGGTAAATAAGCAAAATATAAAACTCCTCTCACATTAAAAAAACATCTCCATTGATATGGGGGAAATATTCTGTAATGACAACAGAGCACATTTTGACAGGCTGTTATGACCCTTTGCAGTTTTTTTTTTTTTTTGGCAAAGGCACTATACTGTAAATGTATCTTTTGTGGTTGGCTAAATTAAACTAATTTAAACACCCTCTATGAAGCAGTGGCGATTTCTCATTGAATATTAGGGAGGCTAAATGTCCCCTGCAAATTTGTAAAATTATTTGTAAAAAATGCATTGTTAAACTTCATAAATGTAATCATTAAACTGCATTAAATAGGGGCCAAAATGCGCCTTATTTTATGTGTATGTTGCACATTAATCAGCTGTTTATTCCACTCTTGTGGAAAAAAATAACTGAATTTTTTTTTTTTTTAAGATAGAACAATATTTATAAGTCTAGGATAAGCCAATATTGCTCAAGCTCTTATTGAACATTCCTTAAAGTGTAATTGTGAAACTAATTTCTGGATACTTTTACTTTTATTCATTCAAGCTATTATTTATTTTATTAGATGATATCCTACTGAAGATGTTACAATACAGAAAGATTATTTTATCACTTTTTAAGCTGGGTCATGTAGCTAAACATGATAATTAAGTTCAAGTGTATATGTAAAGAATTAAAAATTTTTTCTCAAACTTGGCTGTGTTTTTTCCTGATTTTTTAGACCTAGTAAAAAACTAACAAAGAAACAACCATAACAAAAGGTATATATGATAATAAGGTGGGTTCCTCCTGCTGCTGTTGAAGCAAACTCTATTTACATTTTATTTTTTATGTTAGGATGGAAAAAGAAGCAACCTACTATATGGGTCCAGAGTTATGGAAATAAGATGTATTTTGTGGTAGATCAATTTCTGTCTCACCTTTGAAGCATGGGTTTGTTTTTCATTTACTCCCCTAATGGTGTGTTGGATGAGAAGAAGTGGTAAGCACTGTGTCAAAAAGTGGTCAGCTCACTTGTCTTCACTCTGATTATTATCTCTGCTATTTAAGTATGATACAGATAAAAGATACATAAATTGTATTGTGATGAATCAAGTATTTAGAGACACATTTTTTCTCTGTCAGCAAAATTCTGTTGAAGGCCAAGTAGGTTTGGTTAGCCATTAGGTGAGCCTCCTCAGATGGGTCATTAGTTCATAACAAGTCCAGCAGAGAAACACTTATTTCCTCCAGAGGTCTAATTAGTCACTAATTATCCCAATTTAACATGCTTGTTGATCTGTGGAAACACACCGGAGAAACATGCCAACTGCACACAGACAAAAAAGGAGCCATTCGACAGAAATGAAAAATGCAACTGTCTGTTTAAAAAGAAAAAAAAAACATATTTTTTCTTCATGGTGTAAAAGGAAATATAATTCCTTATAAAGAACTTCTATTGCAATGTGTATTGCTGTGTTTTCTTTTCAGCAGACACTGAAGAACATAGAAGGATAGGAACTCCTGTGTGTATGTTTCTGAGCCATGTTGCCCAGCTATACAGTCGGTATTATCTCATCTGTTTGTGTAGCACCGCTGGAGAAGTCCTGCGTGTATTCGTATGTTGAAGCTCTGATCATCCGAGTGTTAAAGAGCAGCAGACAAATGAGTGGGAATGTCAGATGCAACTACCTGAAAATGTTAGCAAAACTGATTTAAGCTCTGTCAAAAGTTATGTTTTTGAAATTATGTTTTTTTTTTAAAGCTCAAGAACGTTTACAACTTGCATGATTTCTGTAAAAAAGTCCTAATGACATTCACTGATGTAGCTGTTGTTGGTATTTTTAACAGCTTTGTGTTTTATTAAGCATATCTTTAACTTAATCTCAGTCTGACGCATTCACACTGTTTAAAGATGGTTTTTGATGCTTTGTTGATTCAAAATGTATATCTATATTAATGTTACTAAAACCAAATGCATGTGCATATTTTAGTATAAAGGATATGCAGCCAATTACTTAATCCACAGTTAAGTTCCGCTTTTATAAAGCTTGTTTTAATATAAATACTTAAATACTTACCACATAATGCAGAGCTAATGGGGAAACATGACTGTTTTCAAAATGCTTTTGCAAGCTTTGCAAAAAAGTTTTCCATGGAGACCAGGGAGTGCGTTTTGTTGATGTTAAAATACGATGTTTCTGTAATCTTAAACACGTTTTTACTTGATACATAAAAGTTGAAATGAATGTGTAGCCTCATATTTATTCTGTAGAAAATTTATCTTCAGCTCTTCTTCACACTTTTTATATAATGGCCATACATTTCTTTATCCTTTCAAATAAAAAACTAAATACTTGCATAATTAATTAGATGTTAAGATAAGTAGTTTACGTTAAAAAAATAAACTATGTTTTGCAAGATTTGTAATATCTCATACTTATTGTATGAACGCTAATTGTACTAAATTAAATGTGAAATGGCATTACTTACTGAGAGATGTATCTGTGTTTTGTCTGATGCTTGTCTGCAGTGGGATGCTATCACAGAGATGGATGAACAGAACAGACCTATTCACACCTTTCAGGTTTGCCATGTGATGGAGCCAAACCAAAACAACTGGCTGAGGTCTGGATGGATCCAGCGGCAAGCTGCTCAAAGGGTCTGGGCCATATCTATTTGCTAGATATTTTTCTTTTTGTGATATCCATTTTGAATTAAGTTATCACGTTATAGAGAATATATAGATACCAAGAATATTATCTGCACCATGCTGGAGTAAAAGCAGACATTAACTCCTATTTGGAAGTTTACACCATAAATAATATACCTGAATATTCTCTGCCAGGTTTACATTTCATTAGTAAGGAGCAGATACTGCATTTTAAGATGACCAGAGTACCAAATGAAAGAGTAAATGATTATGATTGATTTTTGATTTGGCCTAAGGGTGTCGCATAGAGATAATTTACATAGCTTAATTAATTGCATTTGCAGCACTCCAGTCAAGGTTAAAGTGTTATGCAATAATTTGTAATTGAGAGCACTGTACATCAGTTGTTCAATTTGTTGTTTGATTTATAGAGTTGCCGTGCTAAGCTTTAAATACTTTTCTTCTAATACATTTTGAAATTAAGTCAAATTGACATCAGTCAGTCACATGGTAAAGTAATATTAGTAACCCTTCACACTTTTATATGAGTAGATTCTTACACGTTATCATGACTGCTATATTTCAAGCTGTGGCACAGTAAGAGGTGAAAATGCCTGCAAAGGTAAATAAGCAAAATATAAAACTCCTCTCACATTAAAAAAACATCTCCATTGATATGGGGGAAATATTCTGTAATGACAACAGAGCACATTTTGACAGGCTGTTATGACCCTTTGCAGTGTTTTTTTTTTTTTTTGGCAAAGGCACTATACTGTAAATGTATCTTTTGTGGTTGGCTAAATTAAACTAATTTAAACACCCTCTATGAAGCAGTGGTGATTTCTCATTGAATATTAGGGAGGCTAAATGTCCCCTGCAAATTTGTAAAATTATTTGTAAAAAATGCATTGTTAAACTTCATAAATGTAATCATTAAACTGCATTAAATAGGGGCCAAAATGCGCCTTATTTTATGTGTATGTTGCACATTAATCAGCTGTTTATTCCACTCTTGTGGAAAAAAATAACTGAATTTTTTTTTTTTTTAAGATAGAACAATATTTATAAGTCTAGGATAAGCCAATATTGCTCAAGCTCTTATTGAACATTCCTTAAAGTGTAATTGTGAAACTAATTTCTGGATACTTTTACTTTTATTCATTCAAGCTATTATTTATTTTATTAGATGATATCCTACTGAAGATGTTACAATACAGAAAGATTATTTTATCACTTTTTAAGCTGGGTCATGTAGCTAAACATGATAATTAAGTTCAAGTGTATATGTAAAGAATTAAACAAATTTTCTCAAACTTGGCTGTGTTTTTTCCTGATTTTTTAGACCTAGTAAAAAACTAACAAAGAAACAACAATAACAAAAGGTATATATGATAATAAGGTGGGTTCCTCCTGCTGCTGTTGAAGCAAACTCTATTTACATTTAATTTTTTATGTTAGGATGGAAAAAGAAGTAACCTACTATATGGGTCCAGAGTTATGGAAATAAGATGTATTTTGTGGTAGATCAATTTCTGTCTCACCTTTGAAGCATGGGTTTGTTTTTCATTTACTCCCCTAATGGTGTGTTGGATGAGAAGAAGTGGTAAGCACTGTGTCAAAAAGTGGTCAGCTCACTTGTCTTCACTCTGATTATTATCTCTGCTATTTAAGTATGATACAGATAAAAGATACATAAATTGTATTGTGATGAATCAAGTATTTAGAGACACATTTTTTCTCTGTCAGCAAAATTCTGTTGAAGGCCAAGTAGGTTTGGTTAGCCATTAGGTGAGCCATTAGGTGAGCCTCCTCAGATGGGTCATTAGTTCATAACAAGTCCAGCAGGTTGTTAAAGCTTCAGAATCAAAATGCCTATGCTGTCACTATAAGCAGAACAATCAGATTAAAAGCTACCAATATCAGAGCAAAGACAGAGTAGAAAAAAAGTAATATACGGTATGAAAAATATATGAAATTTATGCAATTTACAGTGACGACATTTTTTTCCAGCAATTTTTATTGCCATTACACTGTCACAATAAAAGAGCAACAAATTTAATTCCAGCATTTAACCCATCCCCTTTTGAAGTAGTGGGCTGCCATTGTACAGTGCCTGGGGAACAGTGTGGGGGGTTACGGGTCTTGCTAAGGGACCCAAAGGGGCAGTCCTTGGGTGTGGGGCTCAAACTAAGTGCTGATAGGGATTCAGTCATTAATGTTGCACAACGCGACAATGTGTTGAGAAGATAATACTAAATAAAGATAATACTTAATGAATCTCATTTAGAAAAATAGGAGCAAGGATATTATTTTAAACTTTTGATTGTTTCCTATTTCATTTACTCATCATGTAAAACTGGTTTACACCTTTTATCCCTCTTAAATAGATTTATTTGGGTATTACTGTAAAAGTTTTCTTTTACGGTATTTTCTCACAGTTAAAATGTTTTGATTCTTGCTCAACTTGTTTTACTAATATAGAATAAGTTAATAAAATCAGAGAGGCAAAATCAGTTTTGGGTGATATAGATACATGTTAATTCAAAAAAAGATTATTAAGCTAAAATAATTACAAAAAATCACCAAAATTGTTTTTGTGTTTTTTTTCTTTATTTTGCCTCAGGTATACGTAGAGCTACGTTTTACCCTGAGAGACTGTAACTCCATCCCATGGGTCTCTGGCACCTGTAAGGAAACCTTCAACCTATTTTACCTACAGACGGATGAACCGCTTCCTGTAAGAACACGGTTTCGCCCTTCTGACTATGCGAAGGTCAGTTACTTGAGAAACTTATATTTCCATTGTAAACTGCTGTTATATCCAAAACTTTGGGAAAAAAATGTTTGTTGTTGGTTTGAAGGTGGACACTATTGCAGCAGATGAAAGTTTCACACAAACAGATCTTGGAGATCGTGTTCTTCGCCTCAACACGGAGGTCAGGGAGGTGGGACCGGTGACAAAGAAGGGTTTCTACTTAGCGTTTCAAGATGTCGGAGCTTGTATTGCCCTTGTTTCTGTTAAGGTCTGTAAACCTGATTGTGAAACATTTCTTTGCATGAATTAGTGTCTTCAATTGTTCAAATGATTCTTCTTAAAACTCCAGCAAAATATCCATTTGTCCTGTTTTGCTTAAGGTATTCTACAAACGTTGTCCATCAACTTTAAGGAACCTGGCAGCATTCCCTGACACAGTGCCACACATGGACTCATCTTCTCTTGTGGAAGTGAGGGGGGCATGCGTGGAGAACGCAGAGGAAAGGGACACACCCAAACTTTATTGTGGTGCTGATGGTGACTGGCTTGTTCCACTGGGCCGCTGCATCTGTAGCATCGGCCATGAGGAGATTGATGACCAGTGCCGAGGTGAGGAGCTACATTTAGTGCTCTGGTGGATTTTTTTAATGTGTGTGTTTGTGCTAATTTTTTGGCACTTCACCCCTCAGTTTTTATTACTGCAAATACACAGAGGGTAACAAATAAAAAGGAAAAATAAAGCTCTGCATCAACTATCAGATCTCCAGAACCCTTTCTGTTATTGGTAAAAATGCGAGTTTATAGAACTTAAAATGTACTTTATCATCTGAGATTTGGCATCCCTACCTGGTCCCTTGATCCTCACTCCTGTTCATCTCCTTTTACCTCCATCTGCTTTAACCATTTTCCCCTTATTTCTTTGTTTACTTCTTACCTGCCCCAATTTCATAATTGTCCTTCAGTTACTCTCTTACAAGTCATACTCGCGTAGCTGATTCCTTTTCCTTAAGGAGTTAAATACAAACATACATTTATCATTTCTTTAGCTGGCATCCTTTAAAACTTGATGTATACACAGACGTTAATGTTAAATAGCTGGAATGAATACCAAGGTGTTTCAGTGAGTGGCTTGTAGTGGGCTTTTTATCTAATAAATTATCTCAGTGTTGCCTAAAATTAGCGCATTGTGAGCTGAACATATTAATGAAAAGTTAAAGAAACCATTGGCTTGCTCCAGATAGTCTTTTGGCCTGGTTTCTCATTTCCACTGTGTAGACAAACTAAGAGCTAGCCAGCTAATTGCCTTCATTTGTTAGTTTCACAGATAATTTAGCTTGCACCTAGTCTTTTCTAAAACTCCCCCAACCCCCTCTTTCATTCCTGCCTGACTCTTGTAATTAAGGCAGTAGCTAAATTGAGCCACACTGTGCGATTACAATTACCATGCCCTCCCTGTTTCTTACAACATTTCTGCAGACTTACAGCAGTCTCGACTGGCTAGGGTGAAATTCATGTAGTACCCCTGTGGAGATGTAGTTGCTCAGGGTCTTGCAGCTCAAACACTCATTAGCAGCTGATATGTAGGACAGTCTGTAATATCTTCTTTATTTGCTCCTCGGGTGTAATTTTTCTTATCTTCATGTCTTTTATCTACTTTTTATTTATCTTTTCACAATCTTTTACACTCAATCATACCAAGTTAAACAACGCTGAAATCTGTCAGGAGAGATTACCACTGAGATGGCAGCTTAGGTGCAGCTGTCTAATGTATATGTCCCAAATCTATACTCTCCCTGTTTGCAGTCTTATGCTGACAGTGGCAGCTTCTCTTGATTGTTTTGAAGCACAGCCTTGTACCCTAGGCTTTCTTGGCAGCTACTACATGCTAGTAAATTTTGCCATTGTGACCCACTTAGCACTGTGAAAACAATTTGACAGATACCTCAGGCAAGCGGAAATTGTAATTTTGCAAAGCGATTAACTTTCATGCTACATTTGGATGGAAAAGTACAGTAAATATTTATATATCATTAAAGCCACACCGGCCTACATAATTAATATAAATAGGTTTTAACACATCATTTAGACATGGACTCATTTTCTAAAAAGACATGTATTCAGTATGAATACCTTTGGTGGTATATTTCCATACACTGTCAACAGGTTTAACAGATACTTGGAAAAACTTTACAAAAGGGAAAAACATCTCTCACAATGCAGTTTGATTCAGTGATCTTATTGCTGCTTAATATCAATGTACTGGTAGGATTTTGAAAATATCATAATAGAGGTTTGATAAAGAGTATGGGTAAGTTACAGAAAATAAACAACAAGAACATGGCCTGGATCATAGGCCGAGTTATTCAATTCAATTCAATTCAGTTTATTTATATAGCGCCAAATTCACAACACATGTCATCTCAAGGCACTTTACAGTTCAACCAGATCATACAGTCAAATTGATACAAAGTTTTCTATCTAAGGAAAACCAGTTGATTGCATTGACTCATTGACTCAAATACAATCCCCCACACTAAGCATGCTTGTAGCGACAGTGGAGAGGAAAAACTCCCTTTTAACAGGAAGAAACCTCCAGCAGAACCAGGCTCAGTGTGAGCGGCCATCTGCCGAGGCCGACTGGGGTTCAAGGAGACAGAAGCAGAGATACAAAAAGCAGCTGTAAAAGGCGGCCCCGTCCAGGAAACACACAGCCAGGCAGACGAGCTCCAAGGCAGCTCCCATGCCAGAGGACGAAGAGAGCACATCCACTCAGTCACGGTCAGAGAAACAGGACCACACTGGAAAACAGGCCGATCTCCAACATCTATTAACAAGGGTGTTGATAGAAGCAGCACAGCTGATGTTTTTTTCCAGGATGACGTCACAGCCAAACAGGAACAGACGAGGCAAAGCTACTCTGAGGAAAAGCAGAGAGAGCAGAAGGTTAGAGATTGAACTAACAGATTCTGCAGAATAGGAGAACAGAGAGAGAATGAAGCAGAATGATGAAATGGGGGTCCCTATGTCCTCCAAAAGTCTAAGCCTATAGCAGCATAACTATAGAGATAGCTCAGTAAGGAGTTATGAAGAATCAGTTATTAAAAGTCAGACCAGAGAGCTTATAAACACAACGAAGGGCGAAGAATGACATTGGAAATAGATGAGCTGATCATGAGGATTTAGAAAGTGTGGAAGGGAGCACAACAGGGAGACTGAGAGAAGATGAATAATTGACATAGAGGGAAATAGGAAAACCAACACTTATTCAGAAGATGAACTAAGATACTCGGAGAACAGAACGCAAGAAATAAGTAAGAATCTAAGCTTAAAGGAACAAACTTTTATAACAAAACCTTTAAAACAATAATGAACACACTGTAACTAAATAAATATGGCACAACCTATTTGATCAAAAATTAATAAAGAAGAAATTGCCTGTGTCAAATCACAGACACAAGTGAAAATTGAAAATCCCCAGGATCAAAGTCAAAACAAAGATATAATGCGGTGCAACATTGGCATTGGCAGCACAGGCGACATGGATTTACTAAACTACATTTTACAAATATGTCTTAAGGGTAAACTAACCAGTGACTCTTAATGAGGGTGAGATAATTCCTTTAATATACACTGCAGGCACCAGATCTGTGGATTGTCACCAAATGCAGTGCCAGCAGTTGTTCCAGCCTACAGTAGGAAATAAATAAACTACTTGCTTCATCAAAATGAATTTAGTATAGCAATAAGGAATACAAATTGTCTCTTTATCTTTGTATTATGTGCAAGAAAAGCAGTGCAGGGGAAGGATGCATACGAAGCCCTGCCAGCCTTCCAAGTGTTATTTGTTTTTATTAGATTTTCTATGCCATTGGTACTTTTGAATAGTACAGGTCGATGAGGATTGCCTTAAGTTTGTGACATACATCTTATACACATGGACAGTAACAAGGCAGATCCGGTAAAACACTGTCATTAATTTTGGGGTAATGTGTGGAGAGAGTGGAATTTGATTTCAAGTAGTTGTGGGGCATCACCCTATATTGTATAGAGACAGTGGACACATAAGTAATAAAGCCAAAGTTATTTTTAACTTGATAAACATTGTGCTGGCACATAATTCCTATAGAACCATTGTTGTGCCAGTTCATGGTTAAAAAGAACAAGCTCAAAATTCAGTTTACACAGATGAAATTAACTAGCTCACATTCATAGTTCATAGTTAACTAACTTCACAAACCTATAAATGAACTAGTTCAAGTTAATTTGGTAAATTAAAACACAATTCTAGACAACATAACCTCATTTTCACCCTTTAAATCTGTAATCATAATGTATAGAAAGAAATGGAGAATACTTGATGCAGTCAAGGAATACAGGAACATACAGGTACATTCAGGTTCTGCTGGAAAGATGTGTATCAAAAATGATTTCTTATGTTCCTCATTCATTAGCAGATATTTCCAAAACTAGCTTGGATGCTTTAACTCAATGTGTCATTTTAAATTTGAAGTGGACGTGGCTGACGTATGGATCTGTTGTTAAGTCCCAGTGGGTGCAGGTTGCACGAAAATGTGAGCTTTTTTTCTGTCCGATTCTTCCCTTGTTAGCTCATAAATCTCTACCAAGAGCTCTGCAAAACTGGCATCAGAAAAAACCAGTAGACCAGTCTGAATTGTGCCGACTAGTACTGGCAGTAGACATGCTGGTCTGTCGTGCGGTTTGCCGTAAAACTTACGTAATCCAATGAAAAGTATCGTTATAAATTGAACATGATCGTGTGTTGTGTGTGATGCTCAATTTTCTTAGAGTGAACGTCACTCTCATTTACGTTCATTAATTTAAAACTGATCCGTTCACCTTTCAGTAAGCAGCATTCATTGAACGCATTCATGCACAATACTGTATAGAACCATTGGTTGTCTGGGTCTTTACTTCCTGCTGGAGCTATTTCTTCTAGCTATAAGCATAAACTGTATTGTGCGCCCTTTATTCGAACTTAAGATCCCGGTTTCTCATAACCTCCAAGATAACAGGTTACTCAAAAGATGGAGTTTTGGGAAGGAGAAGAAGAGTGCTGTTTTCCTCATGTTTCCCGATTGCCTGATATTTGTAGCAAAAATATTGAATTAATATTTTTTGTACTGTCAGCTACAGTAGCAGCCACAAATTAATTACATAAACACAACCTCTGACATTCATAGATTTAAAGACAGTGCTGTAACAGATGCTGCCTATATTAAAATGGTGTCCTTACTATAAAATAGAAAAAATATAAAGTATGAAATATACATTCCCTAAAAATACTAACCTGACAACAGCCAGATGCATGTCTCGCTCCGCCCAGCTCCACTCACATACATCTGGGAACCCGCTCATTGAAAGTGATTTCCCCAACCCAATTTATGGTCTGTCCAATCAATATGCAGGGTGGGTGTGTCCTGGAGTGGAGAAGCGATCGTGAGATTCCAACAACAATGGCGGCTCGCATTGAGGAAGCAAGTGTTAGCATTGATGCTGCTATTTCTTCTGTGTTGTCCAATCTATCTGATATTGTTTCATCAAAAGAACATCAGAGAACGGCTTTGAAGGCTTTTGTTGGTGGAAACGAT